CACTGGAGTACAAGACAGGCCAAACCTTCAAGATCTGTATTGTTACCATCACTGGAGTACAAGACAGGCCAAACCTTCAAGATCTGTATTGTTACCATCACTGGAGTACAAGACAGGCCAAACCCTCAAGATCTGTATTGTTACCACCACTGGAGTACAAGACAGGCCAAACCACCAAGATCTGTATTGTTACCATCACTGGAGTACAAGACAGGCCAAACCTTCAAGATCTGTATTGTTACCACCACTGGAGTAATCACTGGAGTACAAGACAGGCCAAACCTTCAAGATCTGTATTGTTACCATCACTAGAGTACAAGACAGGCCAAAACCCTCAAGATCTGTATTGTTACCACCACTAGAGTTAAAGACAGGCCAAACCTTCAAGATCTGTATTGTTACCATCACTAAAGTACAAGACAGGCCAAACCTTCAAGATCTGTATTGTTATTACCACTAAAGTACAAGACAGGCCAAACCTTCAAGATCTGTATTGTTATTACCACTAGAGTACAAGACAGGCCAAACCTCCAAGATCTGTATTGTTACCACCACTAGAGTACAAGACAGGACAAACCTTCAAGATCTGTATTGTTACCATCACTGGAGTACAAGACAGGCCAAACCTTCAAGATCTGTATTGTTATTGCCAGTAAAGTACAAGACAGGCCAATCTTTCCAAGGTCTTCTTTTTTACCACAATATAATGGTAAAAGTAAATCAACAAACCTTAAAATACATTCAATGTTATTAACTCATTGATAAAAAAAATTGGGAAATGATCAAATTTAGCATTCTTCTAGTTTTTTTTATAAAATATGTTGCACAAAAACTTGCACTTCTTTTATCAGTCTTTGAAGATCATGTGGAACCTCAACTTATGGTTGTTATAAAGATGATTACAGATAAAAAATTGACACGCATGTCACTTGATGAGATATTCTTTATTTGATGCACTACTTATAAACATGTACTCATAAGATCTGGACAGAACTAAGAACAATAACATTTAATACCTTTTTGGCACTATCTTCAGAGGCACTCGAGTAAGATCCCTGCTGGAATGCCACCCCGAGGGTTGGTCGAGGAGAGCAATCCGCTTCTGGAGAGCATTCAGGGTCATCATCGATATCATAAATAATAGGTATTTCTAAAACCTGACAGAAAGACATTCACAATCATAATCGTGGGCATTTCTAAAACCTGACAGAAAGACATTCACAAACATAATCGTGGGCATTTCTAAAACCTGACAGGAAGAAACAATTATGAATGATGTATAATGCTCAAACTTGTGAAGTAAGCACTTTTTACACCATTAGTATTTCAAATATCAAACATTGAAAAACACAAGTTCACATTACACAATGTTGTAATGAGAATTAAAACATTTCATTCGTTTCATCATAATATAAAAAATAAACATCACAGACAATGCATATTACAGTCAATTTCGACCACTGCATTATTTATAACACAAGAAAATTATTTCCAGCATTATTCATTGAAATATTTTCTTTTTTAAAATTAATCCAAAAGTACTTAAAAACCAATACAATTATAAATATTCAGACTGCACATTTGTTTCAATCCATCTTAATCCAGAAATTACTTAAATACACATTTTGTAATCTTTACTACAAGGTTTAAAATTACTTACTGTCACTTCTGATGTATTTTCTTGTTTATTAAACTTGAACATAATCACGTGAGAGCTAGCTCCAGCCACACAAAGCACTCTACTTTCTACACAAAGGTAGATCTGTTCCACAGCAAAAGGGTCATCTTCCTGTCCATCTACACTTTTTGTTTTTTGTCGTTCAAACACCTTAGATGTTTTCAACTTGTAGAGAACCTGAAGAGCAACTGGTTTACAAAACAAAAATTGTTGAATTACAACCGTTAAATAGACATCATTCAATTTAAGATACTTTTAAGAAATTGAAAAGTAATAGATATTAAAAAGAACATTAATTTTAGTTACAAATAGTAAAAACTGAAGTTGAACAACTTGTTGGTTCATTAAAACAGAATGATGACTTGGCACGTCAGACTTCACTTCTTGAGAAAATACACATTCACAAGACTAGAAAGTCAAAATATTTAAGAATGAATAAAGTAAAGGAAATATTACTCTCACAATGCCCTCAGCAGAACCTGATTTTAGTGGTAGCAGATATTTACAAAACAAATAGTTGTCTTACACCCTTCTATTTCAAACACAAGAGTAAGGATCTTATTAGTCATTACCAACAAATATACTCAACAAAAGTTACATTTTCATAATATACAACTTACTCAAGTTTCTACCGTGCAAACAGAAAGCTACAAAATGTTCAGTACATTCATGCTTTTGATTAAAAAAAGAAAGAAAGTTGAATTTTCATTAAAAAATTTTGTTACAAGGATGATTTGTTCTAGCTGTCCCTAATTTTGAACTAAAAGTCTAGAGGAAAAAACAAACTGTTTACTTACATCAAAAAGACTGGTTTGTTTATGAATTTTGTGCAAGGATACCCAAGATTTATCTGTGACAGTCATCCCCCAATTTAGCAGTGATAGACTAGAAGGAAGACACCACCCACAACCAACGCTTGGGCTACTCTTTTATCAATGAATAGTGGAACTAACCATCATATCATGACACCCCCCTCGGCTTAAAGGTTGAGCGTGTTAGGTGGGACGGGGAATCGAACCCACGACCCTCAGATTACGAGTCAAGTGCCTTAATCACCATGCCACGCCCTCAAAAACACTGAGCTTGAAAGTTATGAAATTATCTTTTAATCAGATATCGTTAAAAAAAAATATATTTTAGTTATACGAGAAAAACAACAACATTTATTTATACATATACAGTGTCAATTCCTCTGGACGTAAATGTGATTAATAACTTAAAACACTATCATCTTCTGCAAGTATAATTTGTCTAAGGTATTACTGGACACAGGATGATTTGAGTGGTGGGTGGTAAAAATCAGTAGCCCACAGATGCACGTACCTGCCGCTAACCCCAACGTACCACCACCCAACCCCACCTCGGGGGAGAAGAAGAAGAAAAATATTATTAATTTCATGTTTATAACTTTAATGACTTTGAAAAGTTGTAAATTCCTTCAGAAAGTTCAAATAAACAACTCCACGTGAGCAGTTAGACAAACACGTGTAAGGATGAGTCTTAAAAAAATAGAGGTCGAGACAAATTATACTCTGGGTTGTATTTTATTTTTCTCGTTGATCCATCTTTAACAGCAGGTCATTGATACAAATTAGTCACAATGAGATTAAAAAGTTTTTATGCAAAAAACACATTGATATACTTTTATATAGTAGATATCCATAACATTTTTTTTTCCTGTGGACTTTTCTTGAAAAGTATTTTAGCACAAAAGTTAATTGCTTCGTGACTTTTTCAGGAAAGTTTGTTTCTAATTAGGCACAAAACTACACAATATGCTATCTGTGCTCTGCCCAACACTGGTATCGAAACCCAGATTCTAGCTTTGTAAGTCCGCAGACATACCTCTGTGCCACTGAAGGGTGGGGGCTTTTTCAGGAAAAGTGTTTATAACAAGCTAATTGTAAAGTAAATTATAGTTCAACATCAACAGAGAAATTATGTTTATGGTGAACCGTATCAGGGATATATAGCGCAGTGCAGCAATCACATTACACTGGGATTGCCGGGCAAACAGAACGAGTCTTGGGGGGGTTCCACCCACTGTAGCTACAACCCTGACTAGACACATTACTGTTATCTCACAAATTTGAGCAATCACCATGTTCAATAATAATAACATGAAGAAATTCTTACCTGCTGACGCATCCCAAAACTTAAGGGAACCATCAGCATGCCTAAAATAAAAGCAAAACAATCATAGGTAACGTACGAGTAGACCAAAAGACAAAGGGCAGAAACACCTTTGGTTCTTAAATTTAAAATAAGAAAATATAAATTTACTATACGTGACACGTATGATTTCAGTACAAAAGTATTTTAAAAAGTTAATATTTTAAGTGGTTGTCCATGATATTTTGGGATCGCAACAAGCTGTTCTTCAATGGAAAGAGATTAGAAGCCACTAATCCAGAGTTTATTCCCTGAAGGTCTCCAAATACGGCCTTTAAAATTATTGATACTTTATTATAATACACATTAAATATCTTGTAGTCAGTTATTTACTAAAATAACTGATAATAATTTATATATATAATTAAGATCATTGTTTGATTTTATTTTTTTTATCTAATACAAACTAGAAATACAGAGTGATAAATACCATACCCTGTAATGATTATTTCAGGATAGCTTACTGTCCCCGTTCCCCATTCTCCACCACAAATGGGCCATTCCTTCGGAGAGAGTGAGAAATTACAAGGGACATAAAAGCATATACAAAAATATAATGATTGCTTAATGCAACAAATGCAAACAAAAAAAATGTATTTATATGAATACAAGACAAAAATTACTGAAACAAGGTATGAAACTGTTCTAGAGAATTATTATACTGACATAAACTGTTGTATAGGAATAACATACTTCTAAAATTTCTTACTAAATAATAGTTAAGGCATAAACTTTGTCTTATTTTTAAAGCTGCTCAGAAATAAGTACCAGGATGAATCAACCCCAAATTAATTTATTTTACAAAAAAACACCAGTCAAAAATGAGGAGTCTCTTGTTATTATCATAGAAAACGTATTTAATTCAAAAATACTTAGTTTTCTACAATTTACAAAATAACAGAATAACATTAAACTAAAAATATATATTCATGACACTAGTGGTAAGAGTAGAAGAGTACACAATGATACGTCTCGTGACGAAGAGTGTATGCTGGTATACCTAGTTTCCGAGTGTGTAATGGTAGATCTAGTGTTAAGCAGTAAAATGTATCCAGTGTTAAGTTTGTTTGTTTTGAATTTTGTGCAAAGCTACATGAAAGCTATCTGCGCTAGCCATCCTTAATTTAGCAGTGTAAGACTAGAGGGAAGGCAGCTAGTCATCACCACCCACCGCCAACTGTTGAGCTACTCTTTTACCAATGAATAGTGGGATTGACCGTCACATTATAATGCCCCCACGACTGAAAGGGCAAGCATGTTTGGTGTGACGGGAATTCGATCCCGCGACCCTCAGATTGCGAGTCGAGCGCCCTAACCACCTGGCCATGCCGGGACCAGTGTTATATAACAATATTCTAGTGCTAAGTACGTAGTGATGTCTAGTAGTAGATTAAACATTAATATAATCAATGTCTATACTAATGCTAAAATGTAACACAAAGTGAAAACTTTATAAAACTGACCATTTACTATGTTTTAATTGTACATATTTAAGATATAAATTTACAAAAATTATAGAATATTTTATGTAAAACTACTGACATACTTCATACATTAACACACATTGGTTCTTTCAATCACTGTGTGTCAAAACTATGTGGTTCTTTGAGAAATATTTAATTATAGCAACTGCTGCAACAAATTTTAAGATCTACTACATCAATTTGACCATCATCGTCATCATCGGCTAAATAACTTACACTTAACTGACGAAACAATTTATAAAAAGTATTCATGTTAACCATGTTTATTCTAGTCTATTAATTTTAGCAGCCAGTGACTTTCACTTTATATGCATTCTAAAAAAAAACAATTTGGTTTAAACCAAAACTGAACAGTAAAGTACAATATTTAAGTAATCTCACTTGCTACAAGTGTCGAGCTATCAGTTTATTTCTCAAAAAGCTGATTTTTGTCTATTTGTTCTTAAGTATAAAGCTATACAATAGGTGCTGTGCTCACCGCAAGTATCGAAACCTGGTATTTAGCGCTGCAAGTCCGCAGACGTACCGCTGAGCCACTAAAAGACTAGTTTGGTTACGTAATACAAGATGAATTACGCGACAATCTAGTTTGTAATCACTACAGTTAGCGATCTTATAACCTAAAACATCTTCGTGCACTATGTTAGTAATAATGATTACGTTCACCGCACGTATCGAAACCTGGTATTTAGCGCTGCAAGTCCGCAGACGTACCGCTGAGCCACTAAAAGACGAGTTTGGTTACGTAATACAAGATGAATTACGCGACAATCTAGTTTGTAATCACTACAGTTAGCGATCTTATAACCTAAAACATCTTCGTGCACTATGTTAGTAATAATGATTACGTTCAATTATTGCCAAACTTACAATTAATTATTCTTACGTAATATTCACTATATTACTCGCTATGTTCACCAAAACTTGACCACACCAGAATATATTAAAAACGTTATTAAAACAATGATATGAAAGAACAGGAAAGCTCACTTTCTCCGAAAATCCCGAGCGTTTGCTTCCCTTAGAACCTACAGAGTAAAAAGCTGGGATAAGGTCCGTGGGGCACTCGGCGAAGTACGTACAAAAGGTGACAGGAGATTCGTGTAGGTCCATGGGGTAAGGATTCTGGAAACAGGGATACCTGAAATACAGATTAAAACATCAAGTACACATTAAATCAGATATCTGTAATATGAAATCATAACCTATACAATGAGTTCGCTATTTTGAAACAAAGCAAACTGAGAAACAAAAATTAACAATATATACAATATTACTGAAATGCACGGAAGAAAACACCCTTGACTAGTTAAAGTATAAAGGTTTATCATGTAACTTACTTTAAACCTTCACTAGTTAAAGTATAAAGGTTTATCATGTAACTTACTTAAACCTTCACTAGTTAAAGTATAAAGGTTTATCATGTAACTTACTTAAACCTTCACTAGTTAAAGTATAAAGGTTTATCATGTAACTTACTTAAACCTTCACTAGTTAAAGTATAAAGGTTTATCATGTAACTTACTTAAACCTTCACTAGTTAAAGTATAAAGGTTTATCATGTAACTTACTTACCCTTCACTAGTTAAAGTATAAAGGTTTATCATGTAACTTACTTACCCATGACTAGTTAAAGTATAAAGGTTTATCATGTAACTTACTTACCCTTCACTAGTTAAAGTATAAAGGTTTATCATGTAACTTACTTACCTTTCACTAGTTAAAGTATAAAGGTTTATCATGTAACTTACTTACCCATTACTAGTTAAAATCTAAAGGTTTATCATGTAACTTACTTACCCATCACTAGTTAAAATCTAAAGGTTTATCATGTAACTTACTTACCCTTCACTAGTTAAAATCTAAAGGTTAATCATGTAACTTACTTACCCATCACTAGTTAAAGTGTAAAGGTTTATCATGTAACTTACTTACCCACGACTAGTTAAAATCTAAAGGTTTATCATGTAACTTACTTACCCACGACTAGTTAAAATCTAAAGGTTTATCATGTAACTTACTT